TGGAGAGGGTGTAGAGAATAGGGGGAGGAGTGAGCGGGGGCGGGCCCCGGGGGGGTGGAGGGTTGGTTTAGGGTAGATAGTGACTTTACGTGAATGGAAGGAGCCTTGAATGGAAGGTGTAGAAATGAAGAGACGAGAGAGAGAGAAGAGAGAGAGAGAGAGAGAGAGAGAGAGAGAGCAGAGAGAGACGAGAGAGAGAGAAGAGAGAGCAGAGAGAGAGAGATTTTTCTTGAGACAGAAAAAAAGAGACATAAGAAGAGACAAACAAACGCACTCTTCACAAACCACACATCACACATCACGAAACACACACACACATCCCCCCCACACAAACACACACAACACAACCCAACAATACACAACACACATACAGATACACGATACAATCACACACACACACACAAACAAACATACACCCCCGCCCCACGACCCCACACACACACACACAAACACATACAGAAACAAAAGATACACAAAAAAATCATTCTCACATTCTCACCTTTATGCAAATAACAACAACAGTCCCCCCCCTCCCCCCCCCAAAAAAAAAAAAAAACCGAAGAACAGTTTCCAGAGGAGACTTATGCATAAAGAGAGCAGAGAACACAGACACCCAGAGCTAATATGTCAAAAAAGTAAAAAGAAAATGTAAAGTAACACTAGCCAGAGCGAAAGAAAACAAAAACTTAGGGGCAATTTACATGTGTAATGGGAAGGGCAGGATCTCTTGGGCAGGACGTTCGTAATGTAAGCAAAGCCGTGAAGGAGCACGAGAAAAAAATGTGTGTTATATATATATATATATATAATTATATATAATATATATATATATATATATATATAATATATTATGATATATATAATATATATATATATATATATATATATATATATATATATATATATATATATATATATATTATATACGCGTCGACTCATCAAAGAGAGAGAAGAGAAGATAGAGAGAGAGAGAGAGAGAGAGAGAGAGAGAGAGAGAGAGAGAGAGAGAAGAGAGAGAGAGAGAGAGAGAGAGAGAGAAGAGAGAGAGAGAGAGAGAGAGAGAGGAGAGAGAGAGAGAGAGAGAGAGAGAGAGAGAGAGAGAGAGAGAGAGAGAGAGAGAGAGACAGACAGAGACAGACAGAGAAAGAGAGACATAGAGAAAGACAGACAAGAAAGAGAAAAGAGACAGAAAAAAGAGGAAAAACAAACAAAAACAGAGAAAAATACTGAAACTGAACACGCGCCAACAAACACAGATACAGTTATACACAGACACGGATACTCGCGGCTTACAAAACCATTTATGTAATATTCGATCCCTTGGTAATATTCTCTCCCTCTCGTGGGCAGCATGAGGTGATGAGACTGTTGCAATGAGCAGTCTCTCCTCCCAGTCTCGTTGCAACACTCTGATGTGCGATACCGGAGTCATAATCATTAGATATTGGACCGTAAATCATGAAATAAATTTTGCGTTCTGAAGGATAGGAAGGGGAAGGAGAATGAGGAGGAGAGAGAGTAGGAAGGGGAAGGAGAATGAGGAGGAGAGAGAGTAGGAAGGGGAGGGAGAATGAGGAGGAGAGAGAGTGGGAAGGGGAAGGAGAAATGAGAGGAGAGGAGAGTAGGAAGGGGAAGGAGAATGAGGAGGAGAGAGAGTGGGAAGGGGAAGGAGAATGAGGAGGAGAGAGAGTAGGAAGGGAAAGGAGAATGAGGAGGAGAGAGAGTAGGAAGGGGAAGGAGAATGGGGAGGAGAGAGAGTAGGAAGGGGAAGGAGAATGAGGAGGAGAGAGAGTAGGAAGGGGAAGGAGAATGAGGAGGAGAGAGAGTAGGAAGGGAAGGAGAATGAGGAAGGAGAGAGAGGAGGAAGGGGAAGGAAATGAGGAGGAGAGAGAGTAAGGAAGGGAAGGAGAATGAGGAGGGAGAGAGGTAGGAAAGGGGAGGAGAATGAGGAAGGAAGAGTAGTGGGAAGGGAAGGAGATGAGGAGGAGAGAGAGTAGGAAGGGGAAGGAGAATGAGGAGGAGAGAGAGTGGGAAGGGGAAGGAGAAATGAGGAGGAGAGAGTAGGAAGGGGAGGAGAATGAGGAGGAGAGAGAGTAGGAAGGGGAAAGGAGAATGGGGAGGAGAGAGAGTGGAAGTGAAGGAGAGAGAGAGTAGGAAGGGGAAGGAGAATGAGGAGGAGAGAGAGTAGGAAGGGGAAGGAGAATGAGGAGGAGAGAGAGTAGGAAGGGGAAGGAGAATGAGGAGGAGAGAGAGTGGAAGGGGAAGGAGAATGAGGAAGGAGAGAGTAGGAAGGGGAAGAGAATGAGAGGAGAAGAGTAGGAAGGGGAAGGAGAATGAAGGAGAGAGAGAGAGAGAGAGTGAGAGATGTGTATTAATTTATTCATGTGAGTGTGTGAGTTGAGGTGTGTGTTAGGTTGATGGATGTGTTTAGGAGTAGATAATAAACACACACAAACACATGTACAACATACACACAACAAAAAAAAAAAACAACTCACAAAACACATAACACACATAAAAACACACACACAAACACATAAACTCACACACACCATATACAAACATCATTCAAAAGCATATAGAAATATTCTTTACGATGATCCCTAACCCAAATAGTTTCTTATAATTAACCCTTAACAACAACAGCCAAATCAAACATACATACATACATACATACAACATACATACAGCATCCTCATACATTAGCATACTCCCTATCCTGGCTCTCTTTTGCAAGTCATTCCCGGACTTACGGTCGTCTCACCAAGAGAGAGAGAGAGAGAGAGAGAGAGAGAGAGAGAGAGAGAGAGAGGAGAGAGAGAGAGAGAGAGAGAGAGAGAGGAGAGAGAAGAGAAAGGAGAGAGAGAGACAGAGAGAACAAGAGAGAAGAAGAGAGAGAGAGAGGAGAGAGAGAGATGAG